TGAAACACAGGTGATGTTATTGAGCCGTTGCATGATAGTGTGTCCTTCACACACAGTGTAAAGTTGTTAGTGCTTAGTTAAGGCCGTGTGTCATCATCCTGTGTGACGGTGAAACTGAACGCCTCACTAATTGAGTTCGCTGCTCCTCATTAGACGTTCACTCAAGAATCCGGGTTGCGACACATTGACGCTCGAAAAGATAATCCAAGGGCCGTCAAACACGAGACACTGAGGACGAGCTGAGGATCAAACTAAAGACAACAGCAGGACGTTTGACTGATTAGCACCAGAGAGGGCAAGAGTACACGCATCCTTTACTCAAGTAGAAGTACTCGTGTTTAAAAATACTCTGGTGAAAGTAGAAGTACTGACTAAACTTCTTTACTCAAGTCAAAGTAAAGAGGCTTTGAAATGTACTTCAGTAAAAAGTACCCATAACTAGCAGCTGTTTTAAAGAGTACCTGACCTCCCTTTATATTAATAGAACAATAATGTCATTGTTAGCTAATGAATGTTTCCATGCTGAACAACGGCAACATGACAACGTTTTCATTGGTCCCTCTTCTTTAGAGAAGACCAGGAAATGATGGATACACGGATCGTGTTCAAATCAATAGGCACGCAATGACTCTAAATAATAATGATCACGCCACCAAACACACATTCAAACTAAAGGAACCAGCCTGTTTGGGAAATGTGAGAAGTAGAAAGTACAGGTATTTGGGTTCAACATGTAAGAAGTAGAAAGTACAGGTATTTGTGTTCAAAATGTAAGAAGTAGAAAGTACAGGTATTTGTGTTCAACATGTGAGAAGTAGAAAGTACAGGTATTTGTGTTCAACATGTAAGAAGTAGAAAGTACAGGTATTTGAGTTCAACATGTAAGAAGTAGAAAGTACAGGTATTTGAGTTCAACATGTAAGAAGTAGAAAGTACAGGTATTTGGGTTCAACATGTAAGAAGTAGAAAGTACAGGTATTTGAGTTCAACATGTAAGAAGTAGAAAGTACAGGTATTTGGGTTCAACATGTAAGAAGTAGAAAGTACAGGTATTTGTGTTCAACATGTAAGAAGTAGAAAGTACAGGTATTTGGGTTCAACATGTAAGAAGTAGAAAGTACAGGTATTTGTGTTCAACATGTAAGAAGTAGAAAGTCATCGTAAAATAAGTAGTGGAGAAAAGTACTGATACCGATACTTAAGTACATTACATGTCATTTGACCAAGTACAGTAACGAAGTATTTGTACTCCCCTACTTCCCACCTCTCACACAAACAAGAACTCTGCAGAGTCCACAGGTTGTTCTGCTGCAGAAAGAGATTTGTGAGACCGCACCGATGCTCGTAAAAACGCCTCAGAAACAACAAGAGAAGCTTTTTTATAAAGGCCCTATCAATTGTATCAAGACAAAATGGGGACAAGTGCAATATCTAAATAACAGGAAGTGCTATGTGGTTAAAGGTTAAACATATGTGAAAGAAAGAATGACGTACGGTTGAGCTGCTCGGCTGTTTGTTTGGTACAGATGCTCAAAGTACTGTTCAAAGATAGCGTGAATAATGAAGCAAACATGAATATTTCATCATCAATCTTTGTTAACCCTGTCGAAATAATCCCAATTAGACCTTTTTTTCAAAGCCATCAGCCCTTACAACTTTTGATCAATTGTAAATCCACCATCAAATATTCATCATAAACGTTGAAAATAACAAGAAATGTAATTAAATGTGTATTTTTTATGCAGAGAAAGCAGAAACATAGCATTTGAGATGAATATGAATAGATTTCATGTAGCTGAGACATCAGAGAAAAAGCTATATCTACATTTAACTACAAAGGAACACGGCTAGCTCGTGACTGTTGAGCAATGTATATACTGCACATATATATAATGCACATTTATGCATGTACTACATTCCTGTTTACTGGTTCTACAGCAGTATATTATTCCATTTTTTACATTCAAATTAGGGCTGTGCGATTATGGCAAAAATCATAATCACGATTATTTTGGTCAATAATTGATATCACGATTATTAAATACGATTATTCATTGACTTTGTTTAAAAGTTCAATAAATGGATTTTTTCAAATACAAATAATAATTTGAACAGTATCTTTTTAACTGTTGATTTCCCTGAACGTATAATTCAACTGAAAAACCAATACAAAAATGAATTAAATAAATGATGCATTTATATTTACATTTAAATAAATAATATCAAATAATAATAAATACCAATAAACAAGATCAACAAATATTTTGGAGCGCACTTCAACAAGCTACTAAACATATATAAATATGATAAATAAAAATACATTAGATCAGCGGTTTTCAAAGTGTGAGGCGCGCCTCCCCTGGGGGGCGCCAGAGAGCTTCAGGGGAGGCGCAGCGTGAGAAAAAAATAAAGAGAAACAATGAAATCTAGCTCGTTAACTTCAGCTAACTTTATGCGAGCGGCAACATGGATCGATTTTTAGTGAAGTTACCTAAAGTGAGAGAGGAGACAGCGTCTGGCCACCCCAGTTGGCAGCTTTGTTTTGAAATAAAAGTTGTGGCTCATCGGACATTTATCAGAGAAAATCCCTGATGTCCGAGTGCAAGTGAATGCAGCACAAGACGCGAGCCTTGTAACCCTGGCGCGAGCGAGGAAATGTGATTGGCGGCGATTTCATTTGAACGGGCGGCAGAAAACGAGAAGCATTCGGACCCAAGTACACGGAAGGAATAAGGTATTTGCGGTCTACAATGACAGAGAAGAGACTGTCAAGTTTGGCTGTGCTCAGCATTGAATCAAAACGCACTAAAGCTTTGGATGTTAATACGTTTGTGAGGCGTTTTGCTGAACAAGATGGTAATCGCCGCATTCAGCTGTAATAGGCATGCCAACTTGATGCTCTGCTCACGGATGACTCGAGCATTAAAAACTGTTAAGATGATGACCTTACGTGTGTACATATATTTTTTTCTTTGTGGGGCTCTGCCCTGAGAAAGTCAAATAAGATGGTGTGTAAAACTACACTGCCCAGACAAAAATAAGTAACCACTTTGATTTAACTAGGCCAGTAGGTAAGGGCATTCCACTGGATAATAATACCCCTGCATTATAGCAACAACAATAATAATAATAATAATAATAGCAATAATAATTGGGAGGGGGGGCGCGGCTGTTCTTATATTCTCTGAGGGGAGGCTCACCTTCCCACACTTTGAAAACCCCTGCATTAGATCAAATATGTTGCACGGTCACAACCTAGCAAAGCAAAATAATCGTTTTTTTCGATTATGTTGTTTTCGTAATTGTGGCAGGCCAAAATCGTAATTGCGATTAAAATACGATTAATTGCACAGCCCTAATTCAAATGTTTAATTGCATGATGTTCCTATCCAATAAGTCCAATGTTTACACATGAGCTTCCTTGTAATTGACGATGAATAGCCTAATCTTGATCTGAGAAGTGACCGTTGTCAGAGAGCTAACGGCGGCTAACCGTGAAGCAGGCAGCAGGCAGGTTTCCTTTTGGAGAGTTATTTATGGTTTAATGTTAATTAGCTGCAGCTGATATAATCTGCCGCTGGCCATGATCGACTTTCAAACCGGAGAGAAGCAACGGTCAAGTGTCGGAAAAGATGCTCGTCACCTGAACGTTCTGCACACGGCCTATAAAGCTAAACCACACGCACTCATGCTAGCATCTCCGGGAGAAAACACAGAACTGCTCACATCCAGGTATTTAGAGAAAGTCAACGGTCAAAATAAGTGTGATTGGTCATGATGTGCACAAACAGGGGATTTGACCCCTGTAATAACACAGAAATAATCATAAGAGCTGAGAACAAGGACACAGGACTATTGTGTAAATACATTTGTGTAAAAACAGGACGATATCGGAGTCTAAAAGCACCAATGGACATCAAGATAATATCCATAACATGTCAAAATGTGGACATGTTGAGGTTAAATAAATAACCAACATTCATCCTGAAGGGAACATGAATGCCTGGAGCTAATTGCATGGAAACTCATCCAAAAGTGTGATGAATTCTCTTACTAAAAAAACACACTTGACAACCTGTTAGTGCTAGAGGAAAAGGGTGAGAAAAGGGTTCAGAGGGGGACCGAAGTCAGCAGGATTCATCCTCTGGGGATCATGAATGCCTGGAGCAAATGCAAGGAAACTCATCCAAAAGTTGTTGAATTATATGACTAAAAGACACACTTGACAACTTCATTATGTTGCTTGAGGAAAAGGGTTAGAAAAGGGTCACCAAAGACAGAAGGATTCATCCTCTGGGGAACACGAATTCCTGAAGAAAACTGCAAGGCAACTTATCCAAAATTATTGTTTAATTATCTTACTCAGAAGCACAATTGTCAGCCTGTTAGTGCTAGAGTAAGAAAGGGTGAGAAAAGGGTTCAGAGGGGGACCAAAGACCGAAGGATTCATCCTCTGGGGATCATGAATGTCTACAGAAAGTGCATGGAAACTCTGCCAGTAGTGGTTGAATTACTCAAAAACAAAACCCACACATGTCAACCCCCTGGTGCTACAGGAAACGTCAGAGGGTCACCAAAGTCACTAGGATTCATCCTCTGGGGATCATGAATGCCTAAATCAAATTGCATGGAAACTCATCCAAAAGTTGTTCAATTATCTTAATCAAAACCACACATGACAACTTCATCATGACACAAGAGGAAAAGTCAGAGGGTCCCCAAAGTCAGAGGGGTCTGGGGATCATGAATGTCGGCACGAAAATGAGTGCCAACCCATGAAGTAGATGTTGATATATATCAGTGTATTAAATACAAACTTTGAATAGACTAAATGTGTTATTAAGCTCTGAGAAGAAGCCGGTGGGACTTGAGAAAGTGGTCGCATGTCTTCAGCAGCTGAAACTGATTTGAACCATCATTTATTTTATTTGCTAATTCTATAACGAGGTCTTCAGGCTTCATTTGGTGTCCTTTAATGCAACAATAAAGCGGAGACTTACCAATTTTCTGGTTGAAGATCTTGTCGAACGTCAGCTCGTCTCTCTCCTCCAGGTACTTCTGCATCACACTGCGAATACTGTGAACACAGAGGAGAGAAAACGTGGATTAATGAACACATAATCTTCATATATAAGAGTCAGAATGTGTCCCACAGCGATGGAAGTTTACAGTGTTACACTATAAGTGGTATAGCAGGTAAGCAATAATAATAAAGAAAAGCACCACATAAGTCATAAGAATAAGTGAACAACCATAGCTAAGAAATGAGTAGCAGGCAGCAGTTTAAAAGAAGTGACGTAACTAACATATTAAAGAATTGAGAGCTTAACAAATGCCTGCTTTTACATAACGCACAGCTCAATTACAAATATGTTTACTATATTGCACATTGCAGGTTTATTGCAGATTAAGCGTCTTTGAGTTACGAGAAAAGCGCTATATAAGTGTCACGTATTATTATTGCAACCGTCTGAATCAGAATGAGGTTTATCAACAGGTAGGTTGAAACTAGGGCTGTGCGATTATGGCAAAAATCATAATCACAATTATTTTGGTCAATAATTGATATCACGATTATTAAAAACGATTATTCATTTACTTTGAAATCATCCATTTATTGAAAAAAAAAAATGTGAACAGTATGTTTTTAACAGTTGATTACCCTGAACTTTAAGTATAATTCAACTGAAAAACCAAAAAAAAAAAAAATTACATTTTATTTATTTTTTTAAATAAAAAAAAATTACATTTTATTTTTTTTTAAATAAAAATAATAATCGTTTTATTTCGATTACGTTGTTTTCGTAATCGTTGCAAGCCAAAATCGTAATCGAGATTAAAATATGATTAATTGCACAGCCCTAGTTGACACGTACGAGGAATTTGACTTGGTGTCGTGGTGGGGGGATGGTCGGAGGTTGAATGCAGTGTTGAACAGGTGGGTTTTGAGTGGCATAGAGTCTATGATGTGGCTGAGGTGAAGTGTGCTATAGTGTAATAAACAGCTGATCTGAGACATCCTCCTCCAGATCCCAGCCTTATTTTGGGACTCTCCCTGCCACCTGTCCCCTGAAACTGAACTGTGGGAAGAGAGGGACACATGGGAGGCAGCGGGGGGACCTGGAGAGAAACATGCTGCCCTGGGAACGGGTGTTAATGAGAGGAGAGCTGGGAGGATGAATCAATTAGCAACCCCCCCCCCCCCCCCACGGGCCCATTAACACCACAGCACCTCCTGCAGGGTTCACCTCCCGATGGTGCTAGTTGTGTCCCAGAAGCATCACAATCATGAAGAAGCTGCCACGATCACGTCCAAATAAAACGTTGAAGACTAGAGAAGCTCAGTGGACATTTTTTAAACGACAGCTAAAGACAACCCCCCCCCACTTTAAAGGTCCCCTATCATACTGTTCTTCATCAATATATCACAGGTCTCAGATATATACAGGAGAGAGAGAAATCATTAGTCCGGCAGTGGCTCAGTCGGTAGGGGCTTGGACTGTGAGCCGTAGGGTCGACGGTTCAAGTCCCCGAACAGACCTAAAATATGGAGTGTGGACTGCTACTTGGAGAGGTCCCAGTTCACCTCCTGGGCCCTGCCGTGGTGCCCTTGAGCAAGGCACCGGACAACCCCCCTTCCCCCCCCATTCCCATTGTTCCCTGGGCGCTGTACAATAGCTGCCCACTTCTCCTGGTGCTAGACTCCTGGTGCTAGACTCCTGGTGCTAGACTCCTGGTACTAGACTCCTGGTGCTAGACTCCTGGTGCTAGACTCCTGGTGCTAGACTCCTGGTACTAGACTCCTGGTACTAGACTCCTGGTGCTAGACTCCTGGTACTAGACTCCTGGTGCTAGACTCCTGGTGCTAGACTCCTGGTACTAGACTCCTGGTACTAGACTCCTGGTTCTAGACTCCTGGTTCTAGACTCCTGGTACTAGACTCCTGGTTCTAGACTCCTGGTACTAGGATGGGTTAAAAGCAGAGAACACTGTGTGTGCTATGTGCTCTGCATGTGAGACCATTACAGAGGGTTTCATCCCTCCCAAATCTATTCTATTCTATTATTTATTTGTATTTGTTATTATCACACCTTTGACCTCCTTGTGTCTCCTAACCTGTTGAAATGTTATATGTTGCTGCATGTATCTGTAAAGGTTTTAAAATCTGATCCGAGGGGAATTTCTTGTTTATTTTTAACTTGTAATGTCTGCGTTTTGAGCTGCACGTCATGTATGAAAAGTGCTATATAAATAAAGCTTTATTATTATTATAATTAGTGCAAGGACTCTGATGTCAATAAGTGTTATTTTTTGATGAATATGAATACAAATGGACCATTAGACATGTTCAGACACTGTGCCATTAACTCCCGTTAAAACACAAGAGGGGAAAACAATTGTTCTTTCCATTGACTTAGTTTTTAAAAAGTGACGTCATGTCATTTTGGCAGCTGGCAATCAAGAGAAACAAGCTTACGATGTTATGTAAAGCGCCTTTGAGCATTAGGAAAAGCGCTATAAAAATCCCAAGTGTTATTATTAAAAGCTTCAGGGTGTTTAAGCTCACCATCAACAGGGTACAGAAAACAGAACTAAGTTTCTATTAGTTTACCAATCTACCTAGCCTCAAGCAATGGATGCCTGTGGGATTATTATCTTTATAAATGTAGGCTAATATATAAAACAAGGAGGCATAATTTGACATACGATTGGTAGCATTCAAACTGTAGGTTTTGATACACCAAAGGGTCTTGTTTTTAGGTCAATACATATGTAAATGCTGCTTTACTACTACGTGTATTTATATCCAGCTACAGACGAGCAAAACAGGAAAAGCAAGTGTCACTTTTCTGACACACAGAAAAGCCAAATGAACCCGTTTATTTTAACTCAATGACACTGAAACTAGGGCTGTGCGATTATGGCAAAAATCATAATCACGATTATTTTGGTCAATAATTGATATCACGATTATTAAATACGATTATTCATTGACTTTAAAAAAACATCCATTTATTGAACTTTAAAACAAATACAAATAATCATTTGAACAGTATTTTTTTAACTGTTGATTACCCTGAACGTATAATTCAACTGAAAAACCAATACACAAATAAATGACATATTTAAATAAATAATATCAAAATAATAAATACCAATAAACAAGATCAACAAATATTTTGGAGCGCACTTCCACAAGCTATTAAACATATATAAATATGATAAATACAAATAAATGAGACCAAAATTAATTAGATCAAATATGTTGCACGGTCACAACCGAGCAAAGCAAAATAATAGTTTTTTTCGATTATGTTGTTTTCGTAATTGTGGCAGGCCAAAATCGTAATTGCGATTAAAATACGATTAATCGCACAGCCCTAACTGAAACTATGACTGGAACCTATAACTTGAACCTAAAAAACAACGAGTGATCCGACCAGTACTCCCAGTTGGTTTGCAGATTTGAATAAGAGCATAATTTGACATACGATTAGCCTTTGGTAGCATTCAAACTGTAGGCCATGATACACCAAAGTCAATTAACTCAATGACACTATGACTTCATAATGCTCAAACTAGGAGCCTCAAAACAACGAGTGATCAGACCAGTACACCCAGTTGGTTTGAATATAAGTGGGAAGGAGCGTGAATGCAACATTTTTGAAGTGCAGCGACAGGAACAAGAAGCTAGGAAGTAAACACTTCCTCTTTCTGAGGAGCGGTGTGAATCACCAGCAGCTGACTTTTTATTCTCTGAAGCCTCCACACTTTGGTGACACTTGGTGTGTACGAGTGGAGCCTTATTAGGCGTCAAAAACACATGAGGGGGGGGGGGGGGTGTTTCCAATAGTGTGTGTGTGGTGAGGTTAGATATAGAGGACATCACACACAGGTGCAGAAATGCATTTAATCGTGCATCATGTGTCCTTTTTATAATATCACAAACAGCTCTTACATGTTCATAGCTATTGATGCGTGAAAAGATAACATTTAACTGATATTGCAATTGCGATATGATCCACAATATAAGAGGGAATTATCATTTTTCTTGAACCAATTGGATAATGCACTAGTTTATGTTTTGCAATTTTTATGAAATGTCGATTACTTGTCTAGCCCTAGTCATATCAAAGTGCTTTGTGCCATTCAAGCCCTAAAAAATAACATTTTAAAACCTCAAACCTTAACGATTATTATCATTATCCATTACTATAATGATTATTCTCAAGGCTAATGACCTAGAATTGTAAAAAAATTTCCATTAGTGTTATTAAAAATCAATGATATAATCTTTAAAAGTCTCAAAATGTAAGAATATTGAGTTTAATGTCATGAGAAATTGACAATATATATATTTTGTGGCCTGAAAACTGCATTTTCTGTCGTATCTGCATGAAACACGTTAAATACTCTCTGTTTCAAAGTGCCAGCTGACGTTATTATCACACAGAGACGTTGTTGTGAAGCGTTGACACAGAAGAAGCGTCTCCTCACACCAGCTTCAGCTCCCGGCGGCAGATGACCGAGCTCCTGCTGTGACTCTGACTGACAGAAAGGCTTCTGGCTTCACATATATAAATAATATGTAATTAATATAAATAAATATGGAAATATGACGAAGGGGGCCGAGGAAACTTATAGGAGCGGAGGGAGGGCGGTCACAAGCGTATTTAATGAGAAACAGACGGCAGGATTCCTTTACAGTTCACGGTATTTTAAAGTCTCATTATGTGTGATGAATGAAATATGAAGTTGTCGCACCTAGGTGTCGATAAAGGAGTTTCAAAGAAGTTGCTTTGGGGTTTAGTTGATATAAATAAAGCAGATCATAAACAGGGGTTTTTCTAGAAAGATACAGTTTGAGATAAGATAATATATATCAAACCTGGCGATCGTATACAAGATGTCTCCTGACGTGAACAACAACGTGACAAAACCAACAACATGACGTAAACCACAACGTGACGCAAGCCACAACGTGACGCAAGCCACAACGTGACGCAAGCCACAACGTGACGCAAACCACAACGTGACGCAAACCACAACGTGACGCAAACCACAACGTGACGCAAA